CCCAGCAGGAGATATGACAGATGCTTCACTGTATAGGGCCCAGAAGTGTGTGCCAAAGATATGATTAAGGGCCTGGCCTTCCACCCAAGCCCACGGTTTCATTTGGCCTAAGGGAGGTGCTATTAAATTGGGAGGGAATGGAATGGCAGAGCACTGAGGCCTTTAAAAGACCAGTTTTTAGGCTGAAAAACTGTCTAGACAAGATCTTGATGGTTACTCACATGGAACCAATCAGAAGCAAACAGACTGGAGGGCTACTAAAGTCTTGAGAGACTTGTATCTCCACAGAAACCTTAAGGCTGGCCTATAAAAAGCTGTGACTATTCAGTCCTCAAAACAACACCCAGACCCCAAATCCTCCCAGGAAGCGCGTGTTAGAAGCCCATCCCCTCCAGTATCCATCTCCGACATGGTGCAGGGAAGACCCTTTCAGAAGGAAAAGCTAGGACTCTAAAAGATGCCAGGAAACAGTTCCCAGAGGGCAGAACATGGGTTGCCAGACAGTGACAAGGAAACGTACTGGCCGCCAGTGCAGGAGATGCAGGGGGACTTGATGGTCCCGATTTCTACTACAGCAGCGTGGCATACGGTGTGCTGGGGGCAGACAGCTCGTCTGTTTCAATTAACAGATTACAAGACCTCAATAGGCACATGTGGCCCTAAAAGAGAAAACAGTACATCACCCGGAGATCCTGAATCTGACTGAATGGAAGGAAAAGAATGTGATACTAGGGTCATCTTCCTTGAGAAAGGGGTAAGAGTTTTCTATGGAGAGGAAGAGAGAGATGCATGTGGATATCTGGGACCTCAGCAGAAACTGCTGGCTGTTCCCTACTGTGTCCTTCCCCGTTTTCCTTAGGAATACAACTCCCAGTTTTTAGCTGGTGCAGGTTCTATGATGGGGAAGGGAAGACAGAGAGAAAGTTTTTAAAAATAGTATATCAAGATCCATACCTAATGTAAATTTCACTTATACTTCAGCCTATCAGGAAAGAGCTGCTCAATTGCTGCAGAAATGATATACACATATGAAGAGAGAAATAAGCATTGAGAGAACTCAGTCTATGGTTTTGAAACTTTTTCTTGTCCTGTCCAATTGGTTCATCGAAGTGATAGTCTTATCACGTTGACCAGGCTGGTCTCAAACTCCTGGGCTTAAGCAATTCTCCTGTCTCAGCCTCCCAAAGTGCTGCAATTACAGTCATGAGCCACAAAAAAAAAATATGCCATAATATATATATATATATATATATATATATTTTTTTTTTTTTTTTTTTTTTTTTTTTTTTTTTTTTAATGAGACAGTCTTGTTCTGTCACCCAGGCTGGAGTGCAATGGCATGATCTCGGCTCACTGCAACTTCTGCCTCCTGGATTCAAGCGATTCTCCTGCCTCAGCCTCCCAAGTATATGGGATTACAGGCATGTGCCACTACTGCCTGGCTAATTTTTGTATTTTTAGTAGAGATGGGGTTTCATCATGTTGGCCAGGCTGGTCTTGAACTCCTGATCTCAAATGTTCTGCCCACCTCGGCCTCCCAAAATGCGAGGATTACAGGCGTGAGCCACTGTGCCCAGCTGCATCCCACATTTTCAATAAATATTCAGAAACAGGAATAATTCCACAAACAATAAATTCTGTTACCTGGAATTCTACACACTGGTGTGATACTAGTGGTTGACACTGTTCTGGTAATGACTCCAAAGCACTAAAACAACGGTTCCCAACCTTTTTGGCACGAGGGTATAATTTTGTGGAAGACAATTTGTCCACGGGTAGGGGTTTGGGGGTGGTTCTGGGATGAAACTGCTCCACCTCAGATCATTAGGTATTAGATTTTCTTAAGGAGCACACAACCTAGATCCCTCACATGCACAGTTCACAACAGGGTTTGAGCTCCTATGAGAATCTAATGCTGCTGTTGATTTGACAGGAGGTGGGGCTCAGCAAGTGATGCTCACCTGCATTGCTCACCTGCTGCTGTGCGGCCCAGTTCCTAACAGGCTACAGACCGGATGGGTACCAGTCCACAGCCTGGGAGCTGGGGATCCCTGCACTAAAAATTAATGTATGAGATTCATTGATTTGTGTAAAGCAGCAACCGGAAGAGAAGAGCTGCAGTACACGTTACCTATTATTACTGCCACAAATAGACTATGTTTCCATAAGGATAGCTCATTAGAATAGTTTGGATTTGTGTTCCTTCCCAAATCTCATGTCGAATTGTAATCCCCAGTGTTGGAGGAGGGCCTGGTGGGAGGTGATCGGATCATGGGGGTGGATTTCATCCTTGCTGTTCTCACGAGATCTGGTTGTTTAAAAGAGTGTGGCACCACCCCCTTGGCTCCCTTCCTCCTGCTCCCACCATGTAAGATGTGCCTGCTTCCCCTTCACCTTCTGCAATGATTTTAAGTTTCCTGCAGCCTCCCCAGTCATGCTTCCTGTACAGCCTGCAGAACTGTGAATCAATGAAACCTCTTTTCTTTGTAAACTACCCAGTCTCAGGTCCTTATAGCAATGCGAGAACCAACTGACACACTTGTGTAGGATCAAATACAGTTTTAGAAATATTTTGGTCTTATTCTTGGAATGTAACAAGCCATGCATTTTGTTCATCCATCTATCTCGTGGTCCCTCTAACACCAAGGTGATCTCTTCAAATATCTTCTCCTTACAAAGGAAACTGCCTCCCACCCAGAGGAATTTCTTCCCAGGCTCACTGACTCAGTAGGCTTCTGTGAGTAACTTCACCTAGCAGTGTTAGGAAGGAACCCCCGGGAACAGTGGACGCAGTGCATCTATGGTAAGCTAAGGCCATCAACAGCCATTCATTCCATATCAGCTCTGCCCCAAGCAAGGTATTCATAACAATCAAACCAGACAAGAAGAGAAACAAAGATTCCTAAACACTCTCAGAAAGCCTAAAATATTTTTCCCCTTTGAAAAATGAAAACTCTTAACCCTATGGGAGTTTCCACCTCTACTGTTGGCAAGCTCAGCTTCCATGTCTGTCAAACACTTTTACAGACCCAAGTTCACAAAGGCAGAGGGTTTTTTTAAGTTTAATATCAAAAGTAAACTTCCTGATATCCAAGAATACTAAGGTCATGTATTTATACAGGTTCTTTTTCACCCCAAAACACAGGCTGGACAGCATGTGGTGAAGCCTTCTGCAGATGCATGGAAGCCTCGATCCCTCCGCACGCTCAAGGCACGTGCTGACCTCTTGGTGATGCACTGCCCCGGCCACGAGCTCCAGGACCACACTTCCAAAGTTCCCAGACTGCGCTCACATGAAATATTCTTCAGTGTTCTCCACAGAAACAACAAAAATGGTCTGAGAGTACACGTATTTTTTTATCTAAACTTCACCTCCCCAAATCTGTTGTTCAATAGCTTGTCAGATTTTATTTAGAAAATTTAACTATCAGGAGTTACCCCTTCAATGTAATAAAGTCTTCACTTGAGTAACAAAAGGATTATTACAGAGTTTGCAACAAGCAAGCGATGACTGTTCCATCTACAAGAACAGGCTTTTTCCTTTTCTACTGGGAAGCAATGGGTGTCAGGGGAGGGGTGGGAGCAGGAGAATTAGGGGACACTAAAAAATAAAAGTACCTATGACAACACAAATTAACTCAGTATACAACTGTCAATGAACATGGCTCACAGTTCCCCTCCCAGTCTGTCCCCATTGCTCTGATAATCCTCCCAAACGATTCAGCCAATGCTTCCTCTAATATAACACACATACTAAAACCACCATTCCAATGATGCTAAGTGTGAGTCAAGAAAACGCTAAAGTTAGCTCATCATTTTATAGCAATATAGCATTAAGTTTGAGAAACTATTAAGAAAAAAGCCCAAAATACTCCCATATATTGAATTATACATCTGTCTAATCATGTGGTCCCCATGAGTGAAATGCCTAGAAACTATGAATCCAGTTATTCTGGGAATATTTCATTCTTTAAAATTTTGACCCCACATTGAGGGAAGGCACTTTTGTTGTTTCCTTCCTCTATAACCCAATTTTTTAAACTAAAATAGTATTAATGTTATTGAGGAGTTTTTAAAAATTCCTTTCATTTGTTTTCTACTTTTTAATCTTTAATCAAAGGCTACATAATGGAAAGAATCAAAAGGAAAACTTGCAATAAGAGTAAATTTCAAATATCCTAACAGGGTTATGGACTGCTTTAAAAAGGTATTGGGGCTGGACATGGCGGCTCAAGCCTAAAATCCCAGCACTCTGGGAGGCTGAGTCAGGAGGATCGCTTGAGCCCAGAAGTTCGAAGTCAGCTTGGGCAACATGGCGAAACCCTGTCTCTACCAAAAATACTAAACTTAGCTGGGTGTGGTGACGTGTGCCTATAGTTCCAGCTACTTGGGAGGCTGAGGCAGGAGCATCCCTTGAGCTCAGAAGGTCGAGGCTGCAGTGAGCCATGACTGTACCACTGCACTCTAGCCTGGATGACAGAGCAAGACCCTGTCTCCAAAAATAAATAAATAAAAGTATTGGATAGCAATGTACCAAAAACACTTTTCAAAATACAAAGCTCTAACTTTTTTCAATTTAACACAGCTTAGGTGATATTCAAACTTGCTATTCAAATGCCCCTGAAAAACACCCTCAATTAAATGTCTTAACACTGACTGTAACTGCACAAAAGTAGAATGATAAACTGAGCAATAATGCCACATCCTTTTCATAATATTATTTTAACAAAGAACATTCTGAAGGCCCAATTCAAGGAAGCAAGACACAAAGCACAACCACCTTCCATTCCCATAAAAAACAACTCTGTGATCAAAGAACTTCAACTTCCCTTCCCACAATTGAACTCTTCTAAGGACAAAAGTACTTCCAACTTGCTAACAGGTCTAGTCCAACATGCTTTCTAGTCCAACTCTATCCCCTCCCCAACTATTGGTGAGAGAGGATGCAATGGAACAGGAATCCTCCCAGCAGATGCAGAGGAGGCCTGCTCACACCTTACCCATCCAGGAGACGCATCGTCGTGGGGGTCACTTCAGCAAACAAAATTACTTTCCCCAACTGCTTGGTCTGCAGATTTTGGCGATAGATCTCCAAGTTGAAATTTTCTGATGCGAAGGCCTCCATGTCGGTCACCACAGGTATATGAGATGGGGTGATTTCCACTTCAGACACATAGGATGAAACAAATTTAAGGGAGAGCTGGCTGGATTTTATTTCTCCCTCAGAGTCCACATGTTTCGTAAGCCACTGCATAAGAGGATCCCGGATTTCCTGTGTCATAAAGAAATGACAAAGCCGTAATTTGGAATTACATTGACGATGGTAGCTTTACCTTAAAATGCCATTTTGGTAATATGAGTACTTCCGAAATTATCACCAATAAAAGCTAGATTAACATATTCCACACATCTAAACTATCAGATAATATAATAAATATACTCAATTTGCCTATACTATAAAATAAGCTGTTCAGAAACCAGGATCCAAGCAAATCAGTTCAGTTCATGATTATACTCCTTATCTTACATTCTGTGATGATTTTCAAGATTCCCCTCCAGTCTAGAGTTCATAAGTAGTTCTCCAGTCCTCTGTGCATTTTATGGAAAACTTTTATCGTTCTGCCCCACAAAGAAATTCATTATCCTATCTAGAAAAACAACAACAGAAAACCCTGGGTGAAAGAAGTCACAGAACATAAAGCACTAAGATAGAGAACACTTGGGCTCAGCCTCAGGTCTTAGACAAACTCCACTTCCTCATGTAAAGACAAGGCAAGTTGATCACCCACAAGGAAGACACTCATTTTCACAAAGGGAAAGTGGGGTACCCCAAAGCTGCCTTCTGTTTGCCCCAAATGGAGGTACAAGGGGAGGACGGAAGGCAAAACCTAGAAGAGATGCTGCCCACTACAGCCGCAGAGCTCTCTATTCTACCCCCGAAACCACACAGCTGCAGGAGGTTCCCCCACCCCAGACCTTAGAGTTCCCAGAGGCCTTCCTCCAGGGTGGTTTATGGAACTCAGGGCTGAGGCAAGTCATCATCTCAAGAGACCTGCAAAAACTTACTAAGATCTCAGTAAACACAGATTCAGGCTCTTAGGCCATCCTCCTGCAAACACCAGGCCCTTCAAATCCAAAGCTCCCTGTGGCTACAGAGAAGTGGCTTCAAAGACAAAACTTAATTCAACTAATTTCAACTGACCAAACTTTAAAACTCACATCTAGGCCGGGTGCGGTGGCTCAAGCCTGTAATCCCAGCACTGTGGGAGGCCGAGGCGGGTGGATCACGAGGTCAAGAGATCGAGACCATCCTGGTCAACATGGTGAAACCCCGTCTCTACTAAAAATACAAAAATATTAGCTGGCCATGGTGGCGCGTGCCTGTAATCCCAGCGACTCAGGAGGCTGGGGCAGGAGAATTGCCTGAACCCAGGAGACGGAGATTGCGGTGAGCCGAGATCGCGCCATTGCACTCCAGCCTGGATAACAAGAGCGAAACTCCATCTCAAAAAAGAAAAAAAAAAAAAAAAAACTCACATCTAGTTTGCAGATAATACAGAGGAGAAGAGAACAAGTGAAATGACTTCAGAAGAAAGCATTCAGAAGAAACCCAGGAGATAAAACATTTTATAGGGCAGCTGGGCTGGAATCTTCAACTAGTCAATGTCATGGTGGAGATGCAGTGGGGACAGAGAGGTGGAGGGGGACCCAGTCTAGATTAGAAGGGGCGTAAAAGACATAATGAAATGAAATAGGTGGCTCTTCATTGGATTCCAATTTAAACAAACTAGCTGGAAAGAACAATTAGGAAATTTGAATGTGAACAGTATACATTAGATGACAAACTAGAATTACTGTCAGTTTTAAGTGATAAGGGTACTGTGGAAGCTGGGCACAGTGGCTCACTCCTGTAATCCCAGCACTTTGATAGGGTGAGGCAGGCAGATTGCTTGAGCTCAGGAGTTTGAGACCAGCCTGGACAACATGGCGAAAACCTGTCTCTACTAAAAATATAAAAATCAGCCAGGCATGGTGGCATGCAACTGTAGTCTCAGCTGCTCAGGTCGCTGAGGTAGGAAGACTGCTTGAGCCTAAGAGGCGGAGGCTGCAGTGAGACAACGCACCACTGCACTCCTGCCTGAGTGACAGAACCAAACCCTGTCTCAAGAAAAAAAGGAGGTACTGTGGTGACATAGGAAAAGTCCTTAATTTTTAGAAATGTATATATGTCATGATATCTGTAACTTATCCCCAAAATATATAAAATAAATAAAGCAAAGTGTTGATAATTGCTAAATCTAGATGATGGGCATTTGGGATACGTGTTACAGTATTCTCTCTATTTTTGTTTGTTTGTTTGTTTGTTTGTTTGTTTGAGACGGAGTCTTGTTCTCGTCGCCCAGGCTACAGTGGTGTGATTTTGGCTCACTGTAACCTCCACCTTCCAAGTTCAAGCAATTCTCCTGACTCTGCTTCCCGAGTAGCTGGGATTATGACACCCACCACTACGCCTGGCTACTTTTTGTATTTTTAGTAGGGATGGGGTTTCTCCATGTTGGTCAGGCTGGTCTCGAACTCCTGACCTCAGGTGATCCACCCACCTCAGCCTCCCAAAGTGCTGGGATTGTAGGTGTGGGCCACTGTGCCTGGCCCTATTCTCTTTATTCCTTTCCATGTTTGAGAACTGTCATAATTAAGAGTAAAAAAAAGTGGTGAAATAAAAATAAGCTATTTAAAAATAATAAATTCAGGCCAGGCACAGTGACTCACGCCTATAATCCCAGCACTGATGCCAGGTCACTTGAGGCCAGGAGTTCGAGACTAGCCTAGGCAACATGGCGAGACCCCAACTCTACTAAAAATACAAAAATTAGCTGGGCATGGTGGCACGTACCTATAAACCCATTTACTCAGGAGGCTGAGGCAGAAGAATCTCTTGAACCCAGGAGGCGGAGGTTGCGGCGAGCTGAGATCACACCACTGTACTCCAGCCTGGGTGAAGGAACAAAACTCCATCTCAAAAAATAATAATAATAATGAATTCAATTGACCATACACTGGCAACCCACTCCTCCCATCATCTATTCAACGAATGTTACAGAATGTCTCCCATATGGCAGGCAGTCTCGCAGGCTCTGAGAACTGAGCAATGATCAAAGGGGCCAAAATTCCTATCTCTGTAGGGTTAATGCTATAGGGTGAGAGTCAGAAAGTTTAAAAAGGCCTGGCACAGTGGCTCACGCCTGTAATCCTACCACTTTGGGAGGCCAAGATGGGCGGATCACTTGAGGTCAGAAATTCAAGACCAGCCTGGTCAACATGGTGAAACCTCATCTCTACTAAAAATACAAAAAATTAACTGGGTGTGGTGGCATGTACCTGTAATCCTGGCTACTTGGGAGGCTGAGGCATGAGAATCACTTGCACCCGGGAGGCGGAGGTTGCAGTAAGCCAAGGTTGTGCCACTGCACTCCAGCCTGGGTGACAGAGCAAGACTCGGTCTCAAAAAAATAAATAAATACAATACAATACATAGAATGTTAGAGAGTAATACGTACAAAGGAGGGGCAAGAAAGCAGAGAAGAGAGAAAAGAAGAGAGGGAGGCCACTTCAGATGAGACAGATGGAGGACCTGATGAGAAGGCGATGCTTAAGGAAAGGCTTGGAGCAAGTGAGGGAGGGCGCTGGGACAAAATCCAGAAAACTGTGTCATTATATTTATTTATAAAGGGATTCCAGCAAGTGCAAAGGCTCCCGGAATGGGGAAGAGCCTGATCAGGGCACAGCATTTGAGCAGAGTGAACCTGGAAAGAAGGCAGAGCGCCAGGGCCAGAGAGGTGGATGGGGTGGCGAGGGCCACATCGTGGAGGGTCTCGAAGGCCACTGTGAGGACTGGGCATTCACTCGAGGACCAACAGAGAGCGCCAGAAGGTTCCAGGGAAGGGCGTAGGATGTCCTACCTCAGTTGGAGCAGGATCGCCCCACTCTTGACTCCTGCGTTGAGAGCAGCCTGAGGGGAACAAACAGGCAGAGAAACTAGTTATGAAGTCACCTAAATGACCCCGGAGTGGGACCACTGCCTGGACCGGTGTGTGGCAGACACGGTAAGAAAGGACAGCATTCGCAGTATACTCTGAAGTGCAGGCTACAGGATTTGCAAACAAGTCATACTTGAGATGTTAGAGAAAACAGAGGCTCACAAAAGAGCCCAAGATTTCTGGCCTAAACACCTGGAAGGATAGAACTGCTACTGGAAATACCACAGGGAGAGCAGGTTTGGAGAGGAAGAGGCAGAAGGTCAGCCCTGGGTGTACTAAGCTTGAACTACCTAAGAAAAATCCCATGGGGGCCAGGCACCGTGATTCACACCTGTAATCCCAGCACTTTGGGAGGTCGAGGCGGGCAAATCACTTAAGGTCAAGAGTTCAGGACCAACCTGGCCAACATGGTGAAACCCCATCTCTACTAAAAATACAAAAATTAGTTGGACGTGATGATGTACATCTGTATTCCCAGCTACTAGGGACGCTGAGGCAGGAGAATCCCTTTAACCCAGGAGATGGAGGTTGCAGTGGGCCGAGACCATGCCGCTGCACTCCAGCCTAAGCAACAAAGCAAGACTTGGTCTCAAAATTTAAAAAAAACAAAAAAAGGAAAAAAAAATTCCATGGAAACAATGAACTGGCAGTAGAACATGTGAGTCCAGAATCCAGGGGAGAGGTCTGTACCATGGATATCAATTTGAGAACTGTCAGGCTATGGGTGATCATATAAAGCCAAGAAAGAGGGTAAGCTCCACGGAAGAGTGACTAGCTAAAAAGAGAATGCAAAGTAGGGCTCCTTTCACAAGGTACCACAAACTGGGTGGCCTGAAACGACAGGAATCTACGCTTTCACAGTTCCGGGGGACTGAAGTCAGAAATGAGCAGGTCAACAGGGCTGTGCTTCCTGGGAAGGCTCTGGGGGGACTCACGCCCACGCCTCCTTGCTTCTGGCGCTGCTGGCACTCCGTGCTGCCCCTCGGCTTGTACACACGTCACCCCCAAGTCTGCAGCCACCATCACATGGCGTTCTCCTCTTATCGTGTCCCTGATTCTGTGTGTCTTCTAGTCTTCTAAGGACACCAGTCAGACTGGATTAGAGATCTACCCTAACAACCTCATCTTAACTGGATTACATCTGCACAGGCTGCAGGGCTGGGCTTCCACTTATCTTTTTGGGGGGCACAATTCAACCAACAATAGCGATCCATGCTTAGGTTTCAGGGAGATC